ATTTGCAATCCTTTTTTTTTTTTGGTCTGTCGTGAGGCTTGAAATCTGAGCCTGGGCGCTGTCCCTGCACTCTTCAGCTCAAGGCAAGCGCTCTATCACTTGAGCCACAGCGTCACTTCCGGTTTTCTAGTGGTTTATTGGAGATAAAAAGTCTCACGGTCTTTCCTGCCTGAGCTGGCTTTGGCTTTGAACCGAGATCCTCAGATCTCAGCCTCCTGAATAGCTAGGATTACAGGCGTGAGCCACTGGCACCGGGCTCGATTTGCAATCTTTTTTTTTTTTTTTTGGGGGGGGGGGGGGGAGTCCGGTTGTGGGCCTGAACTCTGGGCCTGGATGCTGTTCCTCAGCTCTTCAGCTCAAGGCTAGCACTCTACCACTTGAGCCACAGCGCCATTTCCGGCTTTTTCCTTTTTTGCTTATGTGGTGCTAAGGAATTGAACCCAGGGCCTCAGGCATGCAAGGCAAGCGCTCTACCACTGAGCCACCTTCCCAGCCCGATTTGCAATCTTTTAAGTGGAGAAAAACTTCCTAAACGCATAAGAAACATAAAACCTTTTTCAAAAGGGGAGTGGGGAGTATTATATATAACCAAACATAGCAGAATATCAAAATGGAAAAAAAAAATTTTAACTAGTATTTCCAACTAAAGTCTCACATATCATTAAAGCCAGCCTTGGCAGGAAAGACCGTTGAGACCTTTATCTCCAATAAACCACTCAGAACACGGGAAGTGGCGCTGTGGCTCAAGTGATAGAGCACTGACCTTGAGCTGAAGAGCTGAAAGACAGCACCCAGACCCAGAGTTCAAGCCCCGCTACTGACCCAAAAAAAAAAAAATCTCACAGACTTTCCTGCCCAGGCTGGCTTTGAACCGTGATCCTCAGATCTCAGCCTCCTGAGTAGCTAGAATTACAGGCGTGAGCCACCAGTGCCCAGATTGTTTGTTTGTTTTTTTAATAGTCTCTCTTTTGGACAGTTAACCTGCACCATGGTGTTCTCGTTTATGTTTTCCTCAGAGCTAGGATGATATACTATGCCAGCTGAAAACTTTAGATATTAAAAAACAAAATCAAAGGAAGTATCCAGGAAAAAGTATCTTGCAGTTTCTAGCAAGACATGAAGAAGGGGGGGGGGGCGGAGGGGAGGGAAACTAATGAAAACATCAAGAGAATCTCCAATGGCAACTGCTTCACTAAAACTAGAAAAAGACACTGAAAAATAGGACAACTAATAGGAAGCCTTACAGAAAATAATTTTTACTGGTTCAGACAAAGTAATAACCACCACATAGAAATCACTGATTTCTAAATAGCCATCTATTATGGCAATGTGGTAGTACATCATTTTCTTTTTTGTTTGATTTGGTTTGGTTCTGGGTTTTTTGGTGCCAGTCCTGAGGCTTGAACTCAGGGCCTGAGTGCTGTCCCTGAGCTTTTTTGCTCAAGGCTAACATTCTACCACTTGAGCTACAGGTCCACCTCTGGCTTTTTGGTGATTAACTGGAGATAACAGTCTCCTGGACTTGGCTGCCCAGGCTGGCTTAGAACACTAATCCTCACATGTCAGCCTCCTGAGTAGCTAGGGTTACAGGTGTGAGCCACCAATGCCTGGCTGAATGACATTTTCAAGTTGGATGTTCCTTAAAAAGATTAACTGGGACTTTGAGGACATGACTTAATTGGTAGAGCACTTTCCTAGTAAGTACAAGGCCTTGAGTTCAAATTCCAGTATAAAGAAAATAAATGTCAAACATACAGTCACAATTTTCAAGTCAGAAGGAGAATACAAATTAATGAACAAACCAGGAAAACAGTGGTTCTACCAATAATCTAGTAACAAAAGAAAAAGTTCCTGCATCTAAGTCAATGCCTACAGCGGAATTCCAGGAGGACAGAAAGTCAAATCTGGTTAGACATTCTTTACAAAAATAACCTAAAATTCATTGCAAAATTTACTATCTCCTTCTACAACTACAAAGGGAGTAAAAGCATAAGGCTTGTTTGAAGGCTAGAAAATGCTGTTCATCTGTCATGCTGCAAAGACTCTCAATTGAAGGTGACAGCACTTACATAAAAATAAGCAGATAACTAAAATAATTCCATCTATGCCACTTCAAATGGCTTATAGATATCACATGTTTGGATGCAACACTGCAGTCTGAATTTCTGCCAAACCATCTCTGTAAAACAGGCTTTACTTTTATTTGTCTCCTCCTGGTTGACCTATTTGATACTCTAACTTCTAAAGCACTTAAAAGGGAAGGAAGGAAGGAAAGGAAGGAAGGAAGGAAGGAAGGAAGGAAGGAAGGAAGGAAGGAAGGAAGGAAGGAAGGAAATGATCAAAGAAAGAAAGAATCATCAGGGAAATACTCTCATCCAAGAAGTCTGGAAGAGATTAGACTATAGTATCAGTAAAGTCCTTTCTAGTTAAAGTCATGAAACTTCATGACTTATTGTGGCAATACCAAGAAGCCTACAAATCTTCACAAACTAGAAAATCTTCCTTTTCCAAAAATTATTTACAATAGATTCAGGGGAAGGGCTGTTGGGTTTTAGGGGTCAGGGTAGGGAATATAAAAGATGAATCATTTGAAAAGGAGCGGCAGCAACAGGGCTCAACAGAAAAACTAATGACCTTGACCAGGTCAGAGTTTGGGGCAACAAAATTAAATTCCTCAGGCTGAGGGTTATTTTCCTCTTTCTACCCAATATTTTGTTAAAAAAAATTAATTTCCTCAACTTTTCTGGGGTACTGTAGGAGTACTAAATTTTGAAAGCCATTTTATTAAAATGCTAATCTCATCACAGTATCTCATAAATTCCCACATCAAAAAAGTAAGTTTACATTCAATAACTTCACTTGACAAACTAAAAACACAATTTAACTAGTAAATAAATATTTTCTTGAGTACTTGATACTCCTAAATTTAATAGCAATATTTTATCAGGAGCAATTCAAGCTGCACATAAATAATGGACTTTACTACTCCATATTATGTAAAATGTATTCTTCTGAGCGATATCAGATGATCAGAGAAAGCAAAGTGACTTTATGGCTCTAAGGCTATAAGGGTAAAAGGCATAGTCACTATGAAGATGAAATGAAATTGCATACAAAGTGACCTAGCACAATGCTGGAAATAGTGCTGCTGTTAGCTTTTATTATATACCTCCATAAGGCTGTCAATAACTCCATAATATTGATAATGTATATCAAATATAAGTATTTCATGTTATTTCCACCACAGTCCTCTAAATTTCTAAGATTTATTCCTCCAGGGAGAAAATTAATTTTAAGGTTTTTTTTTTACCTCAAAATTTCCCAAAAGCCACCAGACAAACTTTCAAAGAGAATAAGTTCTACCCATGCCTATTCTGAGAATGTTACCTACCCTTAGTGTTAATAAAATGCCATTTACTCTAATATCTAGACTCTTTGAATCAAATCATGAGGAAGATGTCAGCACAAAATACATATTTATCAATTGAAAGTCAGGCTTTAAGGAGTTGTCAGCTAGCTGGGCACTGATGGCTCACATTTATAATCCTAGCTACTCAGGAGGCGGAAATATGAGGATGTGGTCTGAAACCAGCCCAGGAAAATCCGTGACTCTTATCTCCAAATTAACCAACAAAAAGCTGGAACTGGAGGTCTGGCTCAAGTGGTAGAGCACCAGCTGTGAGAAAAAAAGCAAAACAGAAGTAAGGACCTAAGTTTAAGCTCCTGTACCAACAGACACCAAAAAAAAAAGATTTTCACCTGACAAAATGAATAGATACTAGGAACCGTTCCTAATTATCTACTGCCATCAAGATGGCCAAAGTCATCATTCACATCATGTCTGCAACTACTGAGATGTCACATTAACTGTTTTAAAGCCTGTATGTCAAACTATCTTGATAAACCCATGGTAGTTCATTACTGGTTATTTATTTATTATAATAAAATTGCGTTTTTTAAAATGACTACTCACTGAAAATTATTTTTAAAGCTCAGTTTATATGCTTTTCATGTTTAGATATGCAGATAAACATCTACTACATAACTTATCTTGATTCTTAAATCTTCACCCCTTCCTTTTCTTTCAGCTTTCAGGTAATATCCTACACCGTGTCTTTCTTTAAAACATAAGCTACTTAATGCGGCTGGGAAGGTGGCTCAGTGGTAGAGCGCTTGCCTTGCATGCATGAGGCCCTGGGTTTGATTCCTCAGCACCACATAAGCAAAAAGAAAAAAGCCGGAAGTGGCACTGTGGCTCAAGTGGTAGAGTGCTAGCCTTGAGCTGAAGAGCCAAGGGACAGCACCCAGGCCCAGAGTTCAGGCCCCTACAACTGGCAAAAAAAAAAAAAACATAAGCTACTTAAAACACAAGTGCCTATACCAGAACCCCACTGACTAGTTCTATCCTGTTTAGGATTCTGCCATTTTCCTCTCATCTTGCTGGCAGATTCATTGCTTTCTTTGAAAACAGGAGATGCCTGGAGTGATTACGATCTACCTCTCTCAGGAAATGCTATAGAAAAAGAAATTCCAATCCCAACAGTGAATCTTTAAATTCTTATTAAAAGCCTAAAATTTTAAATAAAATATAACCATCTTAACCCATGGATAGGAAAAGAAAAATTTCTCACCACATTGTTAATTCATATTGGAGGAAAGGAGAATGAAGGCAACTATGAGTCAGAAAGCCTTGCTCTAATTCTGATCTGATAAGCACATTAAGAATATTTGAGATAAGAGTTGTTTTTTGTTGTTATTTTAAATTAGTAATCTTACAAAAACTAGGACTGTACCTATAACAAAATATATTAATACTTAGAACTCTAAGGAATTGCTACTAGGTCCAATGTAAGGCAGCCATTAACAATTTTACACTAAAAAGGAAATAGCAATAAAAAGAAGGTCATCCTGAGGACAATGACTTTCTTCCAATAAGCCAACATTCCAATAAGCAGAAAACCAAAATGTGCTGGTAATGACAGCACGTTGTGTTAACCAACCTCCCTAGTCCCGCGCAATGAGCTCACAGAAGTCAGGATGTGCACAGGTTGTATCCTTCGTTGTTTCCATTCTTGGTTTAAGATTTCTGTTCTTTCCAAAATTTTCTGGCGATTAGAACTAAACATACTCTAAAAAAAAAAAAAAAAGAGGCGGGGGAAAGAGAAATTGTTCATTGTTAGAATGTGTAACATCTCTAAAGCAGGTTAAAAAATATAATTCCTCAAAAAATGCCAGGAACATTTTCTCAAATGCATATAGATTATATGAATGAGGCTATCATTTACCACACTCAAATAATACAAAAGCATCACATGTATTTTTTCATCCCAAGTGAAAAAGCAATAGGAAATTATTCCTATCCTTTCTTTGTTAACTCTGTTAAAAAATAATCATGATATTAGGAACAGTTATGAAACACATTTCTTTGTATTTGGGCCCTGAGTCTACAAATGAAATGCAAAGGTATTCTTTAAAAAAAAAACTGATTTCCAAATAGTATTTCCATTGCCATTAATGTGACAACACAATGTTAATTAAGACAGATTAAGAATCTCAGTTTCCAAGTCTCCAATAACCTCACTGTAAACCTTGGCTGAAATGTACTATTTCAAATTATAATTCATTTAACATGGGGGGAGGGGAACTAGCCCTAACTGTATATGCATTTCCACAAAAGATAGAATTATACCTTTACTTCATCGGCTCGTCTGAACCTCTTGAGCTGCCTCAGTCGCATGTACTCAGATTTTACACGCTTCCGCCAACACACTGGTCCCTTCTCAGATTTCTTCCCAGTCTGGCCCATGATTATTCTAAAAGCAATGATTTCACATTAAAATCACTAATTAACCAGCCTGAATGTCTTTTAACCCCCAGAAAACTAACAAACAAACAACATATACCATTGAGATTTATAGGTAAGTGCTGAATTGGTTTTTATGGTTAAGTCCTTAAGCTATTTTAAGGATTAAAACACTTTCATTTACAAAAATTCTATACTTCAAAGTAACATCAGTCTTACAGAAGTATGAGCTCATTACAGGAATTAACTATACTATACCACAAGCTGCTTTTTACTGTATGAGGTCCACCTAAGTGGAAGCAAAAACATGCACAAGATTCTTTTCTCACTAAGATAGCTATTACAGAAACAAGATGTGATGTGTAACACAGAGTTGACTCTCCATAGCCACAAGTTCCATATGCAAGGCCTCCAACCTAAGATCAAAAATATTTAGAAAAAATGTCTCCAGAAAGTCCCAAAAACAGAACTTGGAATTGGTTGTATGCCAAGCACTCCAATGAATGGGTTCAAGGAAGTCTCCAGCCATTTCACAGAGGTTCAATCTCTCAATGCTTGTCCTTTGGGCACTGGTCACCTCACATCTAGGTGTCCACAGAGGGTGTCTTTGTACTGAACATGGACAGACTTTTGTCTTTGTTCCCTACCCAAAACTATACAAGTCTAACCTAACAACTCCTCCCACAGCACTTGGACTACTCACTATAAGTAACACAGAAAGCCGGGCGCTGGGGGCTCCTGCCTGTCATCCTCGCTACTCAGGAGGCTGAGATCTGAGGATCAAGGTTTGAAGCCAGCTGGAGCAGGAAAGCCATGAGACTTTTATCTCCAATTAACCATCAAAAAACAGAAGTGGAGCTGTGGCCTCAAAGTGGCAAAAAAAAAAAAACAACAACAACTTAACCTAGAAATGACATAACATATATAGACAACAAATATCTTGCCATTTTTTGTAAAGAGGCTTTAGCACAGATTCTGGTATCCAAGTAATGCAACCAATTCCCTTCCACTAATGAGGAACTACTGCAATTGACAGAGGTGAAAGTGAAAAAGTAGAATTTACATGAGACACAAAAAGTATAAAACAATAAAATGGGACATACAATGAACATACAAATTAAAATATTCTCTCCCACATGTAAGTTTTTTGTTTTGTTTTTTTGTTTGTTTTGTCAGTTGTGGGGCCTGAACTCTGGGCCTGGGTGCTGTCCCTCAGCTCTTCAGCTCAAGGCGAGCACTTGAGCCACAGCGCTACTACCAGTTTTCTGAGTGGTTCATTGGAAATAAGAGTTTCATGGACTTTCTTGCCCAGGCTGGCTTTGAACCACCATCCTCAGATCTCAGCCTCCCGAATAGCTAGGATGACAGTGTGAGCCACCAGCACTCAGCTCCCATGTATAAGTTTTATCAAGGATTTTAGTATAAGTGTTGAAGTAGAAGAATTTTTTTTGGGGGGGGTGGTAATGGAGGCCCTGAACTCTGGGTCTGGGCGCTGTCCCTCAGCTCTTGAGCTTAAGGCTAGCACTCTACCAACTTGAGCCACAGCGCCACTTCTAGCCTTATCTGCTTATATGGTGCTGAGGAATCAAACCCAGGGCCTCATGCATGCAAGGCAAGCACTCTACCACTGAGACACCTTCCCAACCCGAAGAAATTTTCCTGTTCTCCATGCAAGAAACGGGAGTTAAAGACTCCCATGCTTCCTATTTAAACACTGTGATAGTCTGGTTTTCTGCTTCTTATGCCACTTCTATTCACATGAGATATACCTGTTAGCAAGAGCAAAGAGGAATACATCAACTGATTGCAAAGTAAATGTTAAGCCTTATCTTTAGTTGCAGGCTCTAAGAACCAATTATGTTTAAGTGGGAAGACAGCCATATAGTTCACCCAATGTCTAGTTTACCTTAAATCTAAGAAAGTGTCCTTTTCTAGAACAGTTTCTCCTAAAATTATTTAAAACATACTGTATCTTCAAGAGATTAGAAGGACAGCTTACAGTTGGGTTGGGGAGTGAAAAAGTTTCCTAAACTATGTAATGATTTTTTATTTATCTTAAAAGCAAGCGGAAGTCAAACTGTTTTTTAAAAGGGGAGGTGTGGTTATTCATTCACGTCTGAAAAGACCAAGCTGACAGCATGCAGTAACCGGCTGTGCAGCAGTCTAGTCTCTAAACAAGAGGGGACACAAGCTTTAGACAACACAGGCAAGGAAAGAAAAGTGAGCTAAAGTTACTGAGGCACTAACGGCACGGCTCAAGTGGTAGAATACCTACCCATAAAATAGTATGAAGCCCTCACTTCAATCTCCAAACTACAAAATAAAAATTACTTAGGACATTTTTCCACCATGATTTAAATATGGCAAATGAGGGGGAAAAAATGACTTTCCAATATATCTGAGTTACCTACATAGAACTTCATTTGCATTTGTTATAACTCCCTCAGGAATAGAGAGAAGCTCTGTGGAGATTTAGAGGGAGAGAAAAAGCCCTGAGGTTGCTGGATATTAGGATTTGAATATGAAATATCACCCACAATCCACCCAGCGGTGAGTGCCAGCGGGTGGCACTCATCTGGGCGGCGACAGAGACTGGCAGGCAGGGTCCGCGGGAAGCAGGCCCCGATGGAGGGAAGGCGTGTCTTTGAAGGGTGAGGGCACTGATCTTCTCTCTGCTTCCCAGTTGTCACCAAGTGAGGAACTCCCTCCACTACAACCCTACCAACACCAGGATAGGCGGCCAAACTCATGACACAAAGCAATGCCCTGAAGCCTTGAGCCTGGAGATGTTCCTGCAAGTACTTCAGCAAAGCTATACAAAAGTAAGATACACCCAGGGTATCTTCTTTTTTCTCTCACTAGCCACAGTGGGTATCTTTCTTCAGAATACTCAACCACCAATGGGACAGAGTCGAAAGAAGCAAAGAAATTTCTTTTTTTTTTTCTTCTTTTAGTCGGTCATGGGGCTTGAACTCTGAGCCAGGGCACTGTCCCTGTGCTCTTCAGCTCAAGGCTGGAGCTCTACTGACTGAGCCACAGCACCACTTCCTGTTTTCTAGTGGTTTATTGGAGATAAGAGTCTCACAGACTTTCCTGCTCAGGCTGGCTTTGAACCACGTTCCTCAGATCTCAGCCTCCTGAGTAGCTAGGATTACAGGCGTGAGCTACCAGCGCCCAGTGAAATTCATTTTCTTAAGCATGGAATAAGCATTATGAACCAGGCAGAAGGTACACAAAGTTGAATAAAACAAATATGAAAAGAATGTGGCTCAGTGATAAGTCTTGCCTAGTGTACGTGAAACCCTGGGTTCAGTTCCTCAGTACCACATAAACAGAAAAGGCCAGAAGTGGTGCTGTGGCTCTCAACTGGTAGAGTGTTAGCCTTGAAAAAAAAAGAAGCTCAGGGACAGTGCCCAGGTCATGAGTTCAAGCCCCAGGACTGGAGCAAAGGGGGAAAAAAAAATACAATCTTGCTTTTATGGAACTTATATACTCCTAAGAAGTTTTAAGAAACGCAAAAAATAAAATATGTCTCATTTTTGTTTGCACTTAACCATAGACAATAGAGCCAAATATAATTCTTTTTATTATTTATTTTGGAGGGATCCGGTCGTGGGGCCTGAACTCTGGGCCTGGGCGCTGTCCCTCAGCTCTTCAGCTCAAGGCGAGCACTCTACCACTTGAGCCACAGTGCCACTTCCAGCTTTTTTCTTTTTGCTTATGTGGTGCTAAGGAATCGAACCCAGGGCCTCAGGCATGTAAGGCAAGCGCTCTACCACTGAGCCACCTTCCCCGCCCAACCAAATATAATTTTTAAGCTACATTATAAAATTTATATGTAAAAGGATTTTGAGGCAAGAAAAGAAAATTAGAAAATACAGGATGGAAAGGTGACAAATGAACTCAACCCCAAGCTGGGCTGATTCCAACACAAAGGAAGAAGGGAAGGGAATGAAAGACCTGAGCAGGAGAAAGCTAGACAGGTGGCAACTAAAAGCGGAAGGATCTGTTTGGTAGGTAACGAATGGATTATCAAAGTGACCCCAAACTGCACATTGGTTCTCTGCTCTGCTCACCCAGGAAAGAGCCACCTCTATCCTCTTCCATCCTTCCAGACTGATGGAGACCCGAAAAGCACATAGCCTCCTAACCTAGCAGGTAAGCAGGCCACAGAAACTTAAGGATCCAGTCATCTTCCCCATAAAGTACAAACTTATTCCACTTGTCACAGTTCTTTTCCTAAACAGGCCTTTACTCTACCTCTTTGTACTCAGATGTCAATGATTTAAAAACTTAAGAAGGCTGAAAAGGAGCAAAGAAAGTCTCTAGGCACTGCCAGTGGTCCCTGCTGCTTCACTGCCAGTGGTCCCTGATGCTTTACAAGGTCTTCTTAACACATCTGCCAAATCAAGGCAGCAGCCATCTACTTCATCTTGCCAAGTACAAGTCTGTTTCTACTTGTCTAGAAAAATGAAATAATAACCTACGAATACTATTTATCTTTCTAAACCAAATTAATAGCATTAACTATTCCTCTTAACTGAGTATTAGCCTAAATAAAGTCAAATCCAAACAAAAAAAATGACATATAGTATGATTACAATATCTTTCCTAAAAACCATTCACTGCATGACCAGATTGCCATAATATTGCCTATTTTGCCAGGCACCAGTGACTCACGCCTGTAATTCTAGCTACTCAGGAGGCTGAAATTTGAAGAACAATATTGGAAGTAAGTGCAGGCAGGAAAGTCTACGATTGGCATCTATTCTCCAATTAACCTCAAGCTGGAAGTAGAGCTGTGGCTCAAGTGGTAAACTGCCAGCCTCAAGACTTCGAAAAAGCTAGGGGAACTCAGTACTCAGGCCCTGAGTTCAAGCCCTACCACCTGAGTGCACACGCATGCGCGCGTGCACACACACACACACACACACACACACACACACACTCACTCCAATTTTGAAAAATTAGCCCAGTCCTTAATAGTATTTAAATGTTTAAATGCT